TCTGTAACCTTGAACCACTCCTCCCACATAATCATCCCAATCAAGCTCAGGAACATCTCAAGACCTTACAGACGTTAGTTAAATCATGCGACCTCAAGAAACTTCTTTCATCAATCACCCCAATTACCATTTTCTAAGGCCCAGGAGACATTTTATTCATACTTAATACTACATAACTTAGAAATTTTCAACTAAATGGCCAAATCCCCTCGTTTCCTAAACCTTTCATCTTGGAATGCGCGAGACGGCTTAAATAAAAAAAATCAATTTCTAAAAGCTTACTCCGACGGAATTTTATGTATTCAAGAATCATGTCTCAAACCACCCATACACTTCTCATTTCCTAACTACATTGTCCACCGACCGCCTCACCATCAACGGTGGCACGGCTATCCTCGTCCGCAACCACATCCCTCACAACGCCAAGCTGCCTCCTGCCAGAGTCCTTGAATGCTCTGCCGCCGTCATAGGGGCACCAACATCCATTATCAAAAATATATACCTACAAAAGACCATCCCCATTCAAAACTATGATCTCTCAATTTTACTAAACCTCCCCTACCCCTTCATACCTTGCGGCGATTTAAATAGTAAAAATATCCAATGGGGTTGCAACAACAAAGGCGACGAGACGGATTATTGAGACTTTCCTCAACTGACGCATATCCATCACGCTAAAATGTCCCTCAGAACCCACCTATTACATTCAAGACAACCCAAATGACATTCTGGACATTCTAATTCATTCTTCAATCCTTCAAACTTCCAACCCAAATCCTAAACTCTTTCATATCTCCGATCACCACCTACTCTTTTTCACCTTTGCTAATGTATCTCCACGCAATATCCCTCCTACGTAACACAAAACTGCACGAGCTTAACTTTTGGGAATTTTTGTGTCGCCGCGGCCAATTCGTATAATCCTCTGGTTAATACGTCCACATCTCTGCTCTTCAGATCGTTTGTACAGTCATGAAGAATCACTTTACCAGCTGCCCTTAAACTCCATTCTACATACCTTTTCATTTGATCTATTTGTATCACTGTCAAACATTCTGCTTGTACATTTTCCCAAATTTATGCCTGTGGCACAATTGAGTCACCTGTAGCAAGTACTTCACATTTACTTTTCATATCTTCTGCAATTGCCACCCCCGCAACAATGTTCTCCCCAATTGTTCCTGCGTTTTCCTCCTCACCCATACTACTCGAGTCACTTGTTTACACATCTTTTTCTAAAAACTGTTCACAAATGCCCTTAACTTCTAGCTCCTTGCTTCTAAGGGTTTCGCGCTAAGCTCGCGTATTTTCCTCTGCGCCTCCGCTAGTTCCGCCTCCAACATCTGAAATCGCATCTCATTTCTTTCGCACTTGTTTCCATCTTCCACTCCGGGACCAGGATTCGCCTCGACACATCAATTAACAACATTGCGAGAAACGTTGCACGCAAGTGTGCCAGCCGCGCCCCTATCTCCCAACTCCCGCCCGTACATCGCCTTTCACTTCAACCTGCGGAACCTCCCAGAACACCTCCACACCCTTCGACGACCAAGCAAAGACTGACGAAACGAATATGTACTCATATATGTAATAATAATTAAACAAATTGCAGCTAATGTAAATGTTGACAATGCGAGAGCCTAGTCAAAAAATTACATTTTTTGTAATTTTTGAAAGAAAGAAAAAAAAGAATAGAGAAATATGGTGTTAATGTCATCTTACAGAGTACATTTAGCACTATCCCTACCAAACGTTTAAAGAAAAAATTGGAACCGTTCGTGAAAAAAAAACATGTTTTTGTATTTTGTTTAAATTTCACATATTGCACGCAATATTCCGTGAATACTACTAAAAATTTGAAAAAAGTGTAGATAACCTTAATGAAAGAACTCACTATGGAGTAATTCGGTGAAGAATAAATTGTAGTTGTAGAATATTTTGCGACAGAATTTTCGGAATTAATTGAGAATGATCATATTAGATAACAAGTTTGAAGAACATTTTAGAGATTTTTTATGTGCATATTATAGCAACAAAAAATGTGGCTGTACTAAATTTGCGTCCATTTTAACGTGTTTTCAAAAATACATTTACAAACACCTCGGAACAGTATTTCCTTGGAACACATTGAACTTGAACTTCAGGGAAATATGGATAAAATACTGTGAGTAATGTTACAGAAGCACATTTACGTTCTTACGTTCACTTCCTACATTTACATTCTTAAGTGTGCAAATATCTATTTTGAAATGAATGTGAGTAACAACTTATTCTTATTGCAACGTAAACAACACCTTATTCACACAAACATACAAAATATTCGCATTTAAATGATTATATAGATTTGCCTAAAAAACCATAAATAGAGAAATTGCAGAAAATGATGTGAACATAATTAGGCTGGCATTGTGGAATTCTAATCTCTTCAAAAATTAGGGGACAATCATATGGAAGTGTTAAGCAAATCCGGTGAAGAATAAAATGTAGTTGTAGAAGATTTTGCGGCAGAATTTTTAGAATTGAGAATAACTTTGAAGAGCAGCTTACTGATGATTCTTATGTGTATATTAGCAACAAAAACGGAAGAAATATAGCTTTACTAAATTGTAATCATTCAGCATCATTTGAACGGGCAAGTATTTTTAAGGCGTTTATAATTTTGAAATAGTATATAGTATTACCAGTTCATATCTCCTATGGAGGTAACATACAAGGCGATTGTGGGTAGGTTTTAAACAGGAGTAAAATATGATTCTTTTACAATTCATTGGTATGTCCAACGATAGGGACTGTAAGAACTTAATTGAACAATGATATGGATAACATACATTATTAACATACGAAAATACGTTTTAAACAGTTTTCAGCGTCGGCAACGCCACATTCAAGTAGTCCCTGCATAGAATTTGAGTAACTTGAGTTCCCGCATGTGCGGATCCGTCACTCATGGTTAGATCACTTCCCATGCACCAATCGAGATATATGAAGTGCCATTCTCATATATATTAGGCTGAGTTTGTGGAGTTTAAATCTTTTCAAAAATTAGAGGACAAAAATATGGAAGTGGAAAGCAAATTCGGGGAAGAATCAAATGTAATTGTAGATTTTGGGACAGAATTTTTCGAACTAATTGAAAATGATCTTATTAGAGCAAAAGGCTGAAGAAAAGCTTAGGGTAATATTTTATCTCAATTTTGGTGTATATTAGAAAAAAAGCGTACACAATGGGGGCTGTACTAAATTCTTACTATTCGCACCATCCATACCTGCCATATCCTAAATTGAATTTAATAGTTTTAAAGCATATTTTATTGTACTGAACCATACTGTTTAGAAATTATTTCCGTTACAAATTTCCTAGCATTTTTAATAGTTCAAATGCCAAAGAATAGAGCTCACGAAACAACGTAACGGATCTTCACAAGAAGAAGTTTGTCAACGCTACCAAATGTACGGATTTAAAAATGTCTCTGAGTAAGTATCTTTTCTGTGATATGACAGTTCTAGCGTGAACATAGTGTATTAGAGGCCAAAAACAGCTCGTTTACAATTTTTAATAAAGGGTGAAAGTGAAAATATACGAATGGTGTTGAGTAAAACTCTTTATTATGCTTTGTAAGAATGTTTTTTCTATTATAATGTAAGATATTTTGTAACTAGTGCATGATATTTATTTAAGGCCAAGTGTTCGTACACTGAATAAAAAGCCAACCTGTTTTCTCCACTGAATATTTTCTGTTATATTCAACGTTATTAGAGCAATTTCACTTTTCTGCTATAAAGGTAGATCTGCTGTTTTATTCATTATGTCACCACCATTATCAAGAAAGTATTGTCACCACACGAACCGAGTGGCTTCCCGACTCACCTGATTACCTGGTTACGGCGATCCAGCGTTGCTGCTTAGTCCGTAGACTCTTTAAGGGGAGGCACGCGTGATAGTGCTCATCTCTTTCTAGTTCTGGATTGAAACACGTGGTAATTTGGAAGGTGGATTTAATATCCCCTTTTCATCAGGTGAATCCTCTCGTTATAATTACTCTTTTAAACTAGCTTAAAACTAATCTGAAATTGGGCCGTACTGGCCAGAGTTCATTATTGGATGCAGGGCGGCGCCCTTCCCAGTGGTGACGCCCCCGGTTCCAGGAGCGGCGGCCCATCGCCCTGGTGCTTGGCGCCGCGCGGTCGGCCGGCGGCGCGGTCCTAGAAGCCAAAGAAACACTCCCTACCGCGGAAAGGCAATTCTGCTCGCTGTCTCCTCTATCGGAGGAGCCGAGCTGGTGGGTTGCAGCGACCTCCTCCGCTTCGTTTCCCTTCGCTTTAGAACAATGCAATTTAGGAAAGAAATTCATTTTATGTAATGAAACGAAACGACCCATTTGTAAGGCATTTCTTACCATTTTTCGTCGATTTCGAATGATAAATCATTTCTTACCTTTTTACGTCCTTTTTTACTGAATTTTTTGCTGATTTAATAGATTTTTAATACCAATTTAATGGTACTCTCCTCAATATTTACGAGGTGCAACAAATGTTCACAACAGAATTCCTGAGCCTATTTGATTTCTCCGCTCACATATTGTAATGTCAGCCATTGAGTACTATGGAATCCAAGGTTGTTGTGAAGCATATCAGCGCCATAAATAAACGACATTACCCTTTGACCCTCCCTCAATAAATGATCCGAAATCCCACCTCTGAGGAAGTGTAAGAATTTGCTTTATTTGGAACAGACTACATTTTGCGCAAAGTTTGTAGAGGCACCGACAGTCACTAGATCCGCTGCTTAGATACCTGATCTTAAATTCAGCCTACTGATAATATAGTAGATTAATAATAATAATAATAATAATAATAATAATAATAATAATAATAATAATAATAATAATAATAATTTGTATGGTACAGTATTGGTACAGCATGTGTCATGAATAATAAGTTAATTTATATACTCTTCATATTACTAAATGTTAATTTATGATATATAATACATAGCCAACATGCTTTTTAACCTCGGGAAGTTAGTTAAAGGCCTTGGAGGTACGTAGAAGTCAATATTCCGAGCGACGACGCTTGCCGGGTATAAAGAGACACATCGTCTCAGAAGGTTATTTTTCCTCACACATTGAGTGTGATAAACAGAAATTACCGCTCATTAATGTGTGTCGCATTACGAACATATTATCGTCTGATTCAAGGAAATCCAACGAGATAGGAAAATGTGATATATTTGAATTTCGGGGTCAAAAACCAACCGGAGGTTACTCGGAGGCTGATTGAAAAGGCGGGAAAGAATCTGAGGGATCATCAGTTGCCATTTTTCTTGAATATAGTGCAAAAATTCCTATTATGCATCCATTTAAATAGCGCGACGACAGCCATCTAGCGGAGAGTATATACATCATTTGTTGCGACTGTTGTGACGTCAGAGGAGAGTGCGTTCAGTAGACCCTCTTCACTCGGTCGCCTAGTTGGTGGTTGGTTTGTGAGCGTTTATAGAATTCGTTGCATCTTCAATGGAATATTGAACGTAGCCATTGGACAATGGTTGTTATTTGTGATAATGTTGTTCCTCGGCTGCAAATTGAATAGTGCATGAAATGAGGCTTTAGTTACCGTTGCGGTAAGTGTTGCACGATAATGATGTGTTATAATTATGAAATAATGTGTAGCTTGTGTGTTGGTTGTCTAGAAAGTGTTGCTTCGCAGCTATATGAATTCTGTCGGCCGTTTAACTCCGGCACTCAGTGCAATCGCTTTTCTTGTCATTTCGTGTTACATTTTTCTTTTCGCATTTATTTATGTTTGTGATGTGCTGTTTTCTCTCGAAATACCGAATAAATTTTGTATTTCGAAGGTATTTAATATGTCACTATGTTTTATGCAAATGTCCGGCTGTTATTTCACGTTGCTACTTGCAGTTGTCACTTCAACTAAGCCTTGTTTAATCTTACGAGGTTTTCATTCAAGAACTTTATGATCTAGAATTTAAGATTCGATCGTTATTTATTTCGGTGTAATATTAGGAGAAGTTATTTTGGTGGATGTTATGAGTTTTTGCATTATTGGTGCCATTTTATAGCTTTAATTACCAAGACTGCAATGCCGCGTCGTGTGGCCGAAGCAGCGTTCGTACAGTATGATGAGTGTCCAAAAAAGAGAATAGCCCCAAATGGAAATAAGTTACCAGACCCCATTCGTGAGGGTGAGATTCTTACAGATAGTAGTGGAACATCTTGGAAACTAGGGAGGTCAATTGGTATTGGAGGCTTTGGGGAAATCTACCTGGGTAAGTAGTAAGCTTATTAATATTTTCCTCATACCTTGATTTTCATATTCATTGATATTGATGTAATATTTTTAACTTTATTTCAATTCTGTTGATTCAGTGTTCTAATGGCAATTTGTTTTAAATCAGTCTTTTATCTTTGCATTTAAGTTTTCATAATTTGACTATTCAAATGTGTATTCTAAATTTGTGAGATCCTTACCAAAATAGTCAGTGTAGTCATCTTTCAAATAAATTGATTGGCAAGGTCTCTGCTTTTAGTAATGTTGGAACAGTGAAGTAAGTATCAGGAATTTAGTATGTGGTGTCCGAGGCTTATGTTATTTTAATTTGTGAGTTTTTCAATAGAGGGAACATTTCCAGCTATCTATGTATTTATATGATAGATATATAACTTTTCCCTTAAAATATTCCTATTACTAGTATTTGTATATTAATACAATATTCATGAGAGCATAACTACTTTAAAGCATAAACATATTTTACATGTATGTTTCTGAAAGGAAAGGTCTCTATATTGTATGAAGTTATTGTGAGTAGTTACTCATTTAAAACTAGTTTTGATTATAAATTTTTGTATAGACCTTTGTACAAAAATGACAATCTTACCAATGTATGGAACATGATGATAAATAAAGACGATTCACATTCCAGATTTTTTTTCTTTATATCATTAAACCATGTTTGGTGTCCAGGAGTCCTCGCCTTGCTCCAGTAATGGGAACTAGATATCATCTTGTAGTTGTTGCTGAGTATGTACCTTTTGTGCATGACAGCTCCTCCTGAATCACCATGACCATTACCTAACAGCAATTTTCCACATCAACATAAACAACAAAAAAACCAGCAAAAGATTATAAAAGGACAACATTGTTTTCTTACAATTGATGGTTTTATCCAAAATGTTAAAAACTTTCAGTGGCTTAATATGGTGTTACCCATACATTGCATCATGCTGCTGCTGTTTCATGAATTGTCAACTGAGAATTATAGAGAAAGTTTCATTTTTACACTATTTTCAAATGTATTATTTTGTAAAAATAACTGTTAAAACCACTCATTCCTCTCGCACAACTTTGCAGTGAAATTGTTATTTTAAATTTGCCACAATGTTAACGGCATGTCATAAAAAAATGATTAAAATTAAATGTTACAGGAATGGATTTAGCCTGAGGCACAGTAAAAGAGGTAAAGTGAAGGTCTTGCATTAGGAGTTTGAATGAGCCTGGTTTTAACTTATTTCTGTTATTAGCAAATTCACATCTATGTATATTATTTGGGACTTGTCAACTAAAGCAACCATTGGTAAGTGGAACTATTGGAAGAGTTAATGTGGTCTTAATTTGGAATTCTCTTGGTTTTTGTAGCTTCTGATGAAATACATCGAAATGTGAGTTCTAATACTCGTTATGTGATAAAGGTGGAACAGTATTCTAATGGACCTTTATTTGTTGAGAAGAATTTCTACATTAGAACTGCAAAACCTGAACAAAGTAGGTTGTTAAGAATATATTTCTTTATTCACATTGATTCTCTGTATAATTTGATTCAGTAATACTTTATGGTTTTAGTTGGTGAGTGGCGTCGCCAAAAGAAGTTGAAGCATTTGGGCATTTCTCAATATTTTGGATCAGGTTCACACCTATACAGAGGTGAAAGATACAGATTTTTGGTAATGGAACGATTTGGTCAAGATTTGGGAAAATTATTTATTCAGCACAAGAGGCATTTTCATGTCAAAACAGTGTTGTACCTTGGAATACAAATTGTAAGTAAATTCTTTTGTTATTTTTTATGAATAGTATGTATTACTGTCATCCTTAAATATTTCTGGTTTCCTTTCATTTTGTTATAGTGTTGCTACTTGCTAAATCAACTTCCAGGATTATTACATAAGTAGAAATAAGTAACTTTTTCTGGAAGAATTATTCCGAATCATGTAATAAGAAGCAGCTTTTAGGTTGTTGATAGTAAAAAAAAAAAATGTTCAGCACAAAATGCATTTTAGTTAGAAGTAGAGAATTCAATGCAACTTGAGGAGGTTGTTTAACCCAGCAGAGCCATGAGACGAAATCCATGGAGGAAGCAAAGGGAAGTTAGGTTTTGAAAGATAGCTTTAATGGTCAGAGATTTTTTTTCCCCTGGTACTGTGTATACTGTGTTATGAACTTTAAGTAAGCGAATTGCAACGAAACCAAGAAATTTATATAATGGATTTATTCAGTGCGAGTGCTCTCCAGAAACTAATAAAATATCAGTTTTTACCATCCTATGGATTTCTAAGGAGAAGTTTCACAAAGTATTGTTGCATAAAATATATTGATAATTACATGTTGCTTAGTCTTGATGTTTTATTTCAAGTGTGGGGGCCAAAGGCTCGAGTCTCATCCTCCACTTTCTTTAAAATGGCCTGTAGTCAAAATCCATATTGATACCGAAAAATTGATAACTTCAAAACAGCTGTCCATCTGACAATCTATTATGCATCCTGTAGTCATTGGTAGTATCTATAAAGTTCAGGGGAGTTTTTTCAAAATTGATATTCCCAGTTTGATCTGGCTGAACTTCAGGACTGATGTGTTTGAAACAGATATTTGATTTTTCAGGGTACTTGTATAAAGTCTTGATATTTCTCAAAAAATGACTCCAAATTTTTTAATTAATTAATTAATTGCTTGAATAACGGCAATCATTGTTGTCACGTATGTCGTCAGAATATTGCAAACTGTGAATGTGGAATGGTATATTGGTAATGAATGTAGTTAGTGGTTTTGGTAAGCAGAAGAGATAATCCAGACTTTAGACACAACATACTTGTGTTACTGGGTTTCATGATTTTGTCTTGTATTATTTAAAATGAATTGTTGGTCACATCTGCAGGGTAAAGGTCAATTTCCTTTTGTGAAATAAATCTTTCAACTTGTTAGGATTTGAACAGTCAACCTTTTGTTAGGGTGAAGTATTAGTGGTAGGGCTTTCTCTGCACAGTTATAATTCTATCTTGTTCAGGAAAAATAAAATTAGCTGTTATTTTCTTGGCTCTGTACTAACAAAGTTCATTAGTTTAAATTAATCTTCCTATTATTATTGTTATTAATATTATTATTATTATTACCCCTAGAATTATTGTTCAATATTTGTTTAGAGAAGCATTTCATGGAGTTACTTATTTCTTTTGATTTTCATTTTCCCTTTCAAACTTTTTTTTTAATACAAATTGTTATGATGGAAAAATAATGAGAATTTCTAATTTCCAGTTGGATGTCTTAGAATACATTCATTGTCATGGCTTTGTTCATGCGGATGTGAAAGCATCCAATTTGATTTTGGGCCGTACACCAGAAATGCAGAATTCTGTCTATTTGGTAGACTTTGGATTAGCATGCAAATACCGTGAAAAGGATGGTAGTCACAAAGAGTATCGACCTGATAACAGGAAAGCACATGCTGGTACAATGGAATATACAAGCAGAGATGCACATGTTGGTGGTGAGTATTTGCTTTTTAGTGCCAGGTTGCTGTAAAGGCCATAGCAATTGTGTAGTATCAAGAAAAACTTAAAGATTCATTGATTTCCAGATGACATCCCATCTTATAAATATGCCTTTTTTTTTCTTTCCTCTCTCTCTCTCTCTCTCTCTCTCCTACATACCTTAAAAAGTTGTGATATCTGGAATGGGTTTTACAACCTGAAATTGATTTTTCTGTGATAGCACCTCTGGAAGTTTATGAAATAAATATTTTGTAATTTTTATTTATTTATTTATTGACGAGTTGTATAATATACAATAGTTAACATGTACTGCATGTGCTACAACTACGCAAGGTTAATAAACCTGTGTGCCTAACCTGAAAACAATCGTAGTTACTTAAATACTAATTTTAAGTTTCAACTTCATAATACATATGAATATTTATGATGTCCCTTACTTTGACTTGGAAATTTTTGACCGTTCACCCTCCAATTTTGTTTGAATGACTTTAAAACATGGCTATATAAAATTTTGTTGAGATGGGAGCATTCTAGCCCATGCCATAACGGATGTACAGAAATACTACCCACTACTGAGTAAGGCCTGAAACTAACAGTATGTGAATTTTGATCAATCGTGTCGTACATGTTTACTGATTGCTTATCTTACATAATGTCATATGTAGTGCTGAGAAACACGTTTGTAAAAGAAAATAATATTGATTATTAATATAAAACAAAATAGCTGGACACATTTTACTATTAAACAAGTACTTGAAATTTAATTTTATAATATTCAGGAAGCAGATAGTGCAAGTTTAGTACTTGTGATTTGTGAGTGCATGATATTTGGGGAGAATGCAAGAATTCTGAAGAGCTAATCAACATTATTTGCAAAAACTTATTAATTAGTATTCAGGAATTTAGAAATAATTTCAACAATCTATTTGGTATTGCACTTCTGAATAATTTGCAATTGATTAAATTGGGAGAAGACAGGATATTTTTACTTCGTCGGATGTAAAAGCTATCTTGCAGGAGTAGTCCAAAATCTTGTAGATAAAGAAGCAAGATGAGAACGTTAAAGACGAGAGAAGGAAAGAAAACAGTGTGCAGTGTGTTCATGTTCCCCAGTACCTCCATCATCTCAAGATTCAAATAACAAACTTCCAAGTTCAGATGAAATTAACATCTGTGAATTTGTAGGAGAAACTTTCGAGAGTACATCAATACAGAATGCTGCAAGGTGTGGCACCAAAAATTTCATTACTCCTTAACTAATGGTTTAGATAGATATCAGCTGAGTGTAAGATATTCTGTATACATCCTTCTGGTGACTGCAGGGGAACTTGGCCACAATACCCGAAGAACTCTATATTAATAAATTTCCTTTCTTAGAATCGGGCACAAGAAGAGATGAGAATGTAAAGATACAATTAAATTTGCTTTTCAAAGATTTATCTGAAATTCTTAGTGTTCATTTGGATGGTAAACTGTTGCCTGCATTAAATGTCAGGGACCCAAAAGGAGGTCTTGCAAATGTTACATTTGGGACAGTCGGCAGCTCATCGGATTTCCAAAATTGAGGAATTCTTCTGGTAAAGATCACACTAATGCTGTTTGGAATGTGTTGATGCATTGGGCTTTAGAAGATATGGACAAATTCATTGGTGTTACACAACAGCATCAAATAATTGATGTTTGATTGGAAAATGTATGTTTCATAAGAAAATTTGAACTGGGAAGTATTCTTTTTTTTTCTTCTCCCTTTTCTTCTCCCCTTCTTCTTTCTTTTTAATTCAAGAAATACGTTTGTGATTTTTTCCCTGGGTATTCAATCTCTTTCCTTCATTTTGGAGCATTTCAATTTTAAAGGCCAAGAAACTGAAGGCCACTCGCTAGTCCTATATTGGGCTGAGAAAAAGTTAGTTTCTTCTGCACTGCACTTGGGTAAGGTGATAACTGAGGGGGAGTTATCTAATTATATGGTAATGGAAGAAATGAATGAATCAAAATGAATAAACAAAGAAATATATAAATGAATAAATCGTTGGCTTTATTTTACAATTTATATTACACAATATTCAATACAGACTACAACATTTTAAATTTTTCACCTTCTTTTCATATCCTTTTGTACATTTATATTATGCATTGTCTTATTTTCATCTATTACATTTTTGTATATTAAAAAACAAACATTTTCTTAAAATAAGTTCTTTGAGTAAGTGCACTTTACAAAACAGTGTATCATTAGGTGATTTCAAGTTAAGAGCAAAACCTTTTCTCCAAATTATTTAATTAGCCATTTCTTTAGAAAGGTATAAAAGTATTCAAAAATTTTCTTTAAAAACATAATTATACTAAATAACATAACATAAATCATTACATTACATAACAAAAATACATGTTTTCCTTACTGTGTTATGTGAATACAGTAGGCTACAAATTTCATACTATTATTATTATTATTATTTATTATTATTATTATTAACTTGAGTCGTTCCACTGCACTTTGTCAATGGTCGACTGTCGAAGCCTTTTATCACTTAAGGTAGATAATCCTCAGAGTTACTATTCGTAATGAATGTTATTCAGAGTGATAATGAGATGATGGATGATAGGGGGTGAAAGGACAAACACAATACAACCATGCCCGGGACTCGAACCCGCGATCTTTCGGTACAGGATCGCTACAGCACTACTGCCTTAGTGATCTCGGCCACCGGATCGGCTTCATTCAATTAATTGAGAATGAAACTTTAAATTAAATGCTCATCTCTATATGGCAAAATATCTTTGTATTCCACAAAGACCAGCAAACTGAAATGGAGAAAAAAACTACACTGTTGCGATTGCATTCGGTAAAATAAAAGAACTTGAAACGGGAAACCCACAATCCACACACAGAATACTAAAGGAACTTCTTAACGTAATTAACTGCTATAATATTCACTCTTCCACTATGTTGAAATCGCATGCAGTTTGGATGTGACATAGAAAACAAGCAAAAACCACAAACCAATCATTGTTTGATATTCTTTCAACTAGCACTCCATGTGGCCTGGCAGTGTGTTGCCAATTTCCCTATCTCACATTCATCCCTGTGCATTCTACTTTTTACAGGCAATGGGCATCTGTAATGCTCTAGAAAGGTATGTGTAGGCTTCAGGTGTTGCTTATGAAACTGTGTTGTTTTGCATGTGTTAGTCTTGTTATGTATACTGAGAGTTTATGAAAAATATGCCTTGAAGCACTTCTAGGTGGTCAAAAAAGGGCACGTTTTATGGAAAACTTCTGAAAAATGTGTTGAAAACTCCAGAAAGCAATTATATACTTCATGAGAAAGATTATAGCCTAGATTCTAGTGGAACTGAAGATACAAATGTTAGTGCAAGTTCATCAAAAATTTGTGAGAGTATACTTCTGTGTCTATGACTATCTGAAGGGCAGTACGGGTTATAGGCTTATCTCTCTTGAAATATTGAGAAAACAAAATCTTAAGAAATTGTGTGTGTGCTTTGTGTAAAGTGGGGAATTTGTATCAAAGAAAATATAAACAGTAGATGTGGCTGTCTTTGAAACTTATGACATGCATGTCGCCTAACTGTAGTCCTAAAGAAATTTATTTTACTTCTGAAAAGAGAGAAAATTCATATTATTATGTAAATGTTACGCTACTTTATGCTTTATGGTGCTTGGAAGGGTCATGCTGCTGGTGAGCTGTTTAGTTCTGTTAAGAACTTCCAGCAATGTAACAAAATTCTACAAGGGAGGTAGCTGAAGAGAGTATGATTAATGCTGCAAACTCTTGCAAAGAAATAAATGGAGGAGAAAGTGGTACTATCACTATTAATGGCACATGGATGCACTGAGGTCACACATCTTTTTTTGGAGCTGCCTTTGTAATAAGCGTGGACAATGACAAAGTAGACATCAAAGTGTGTAGTAAGTATTGTCACAGCTGTTCTCTACACAAGAAAGAAAATGGCGATGATAATGTGATGTGGCAAGAAAACCATGACAACAAAGCGTGCGACATGTCAGGCGAAACGTCGGCCTCTCAGACAACGCGGCGTGTCCTGGATAGCCGAGACTTTGTGGCTGTTTGTGAGCTCTTGAATGGTAGTCACATCGTACTTAGGATGGAGAAATGTTTGAATCAAAGATACATGAAAAAGTTGCTGCTGGATGCTTGAAATTTTCTCATAATTGTTTGGATACTGTCATCACCAGGAATGAGATGTTGATCTTAGACTGGGAAACAAAGGGGGCAGAGTGTGGAACAGCCCACCGTATCTCCTGGCCACACTGTAATGCTTAGTTCTACAAACAGTGCCTGAATAACAGTCTCTAGCGACAGAAAGATCAGCACTTTTTAGCAAGCTTACCCACGACAATGTGCCGACCCACAGCTCCACCTTGGAGAGGCAATACTTCCACAACCGTTCTATAGCCTCGACCTTACTCCAGCGCTCTTATTTTTGTTCCCTTGCCTGAAAAGGGTCGTGAAGAGAATGTATTTCAAGACTAGAGGACATCCAAGCAAGTATGATGAGGGCTCCATAGGAGTTTCGCCAAAGACTTCTGGGAGTGTATGAGGAATGGAAATCATGCTGGCAAAAATGTAATGACTCGCAAGGGTTATACTTACAAAATGTTTAAATATCTGTACCTGTCTGAGCAATGAATGTGTTTTAAAACAATGCAAGCTTAGGTTAGAACACCTAGTTTTGAACACCTAGGTTAGAAAAAGTGGGGGGGGATACATTTTCTATATCGTTTAAATTAATTATAAAAGCACTCTTATGTTGAGTATTAACAATTCTCTTTTAAATTTATAAACCACATTCTCATTTTTTTTTCTGTGCTTTGGTCTATCAATGTTTCAATTTGGTGCTCAACAAATTAAAACGCTTTTCATCTGATCTGTTTATGGTTTCTTGATATTTGTTTAATGAATATCTTAATTGGTAAACGTGGTAAAACTACCTGCTGTATTTTGTTCTCAAGTTGAACTAATTTTGGTTGATTCAATTGATTTTATAATGAATATTATCGCTTTTGTACAAAAATTTGTTTGATGTAACTAGATTTTTCTCTTTAAAATATGCTTTGGTCAAATGAGATTTAAGTTTTTTGAATGTCTTTTGTTATTTTTCTTTGGGTATGAAATAAGGGTTTTAGTGTACATTCCTCCAAGTTGTTATACCAAAATTTATATTGGTCCAAAGTAATATTTAATTCATAGTTAGGAGTTGCTTTTCTGTTAATTTTCCGTAATTTATGAAATATATTAATTGATACTTGACTCTTTTGACGATATACAAAATGTGAGAGTTCCCCTTGGGATATGGGGCCAACATATATTCCCAGCTACTTTGTGGATGTCACTCTAGTTATTTCTAAAAAATTACAATGTATTTTATTACAGCAGTTTGCATGTATTTTAATATCACAATGTTCTAGAGTACTGATCATGTAGGTAATAAGCAATAATTAGACTGAGAAAATTTTTGTTAATTCACTCAAGAATTATAGTAATTTTGTTTTGAGCGTTTAATCTAGCTTCAGCCCATGTCTTGCCTTTCACTATGAGGCACATGTCATTCACAAAAGAAACTAATTTACCCTCTGGCAGTATAGCAGAAATGTCATTTATCTACAAAATTGGCCGTAATGCAGTTCTTTGAGGGAGTCCACAGTGAAGTTTTCTCTTCGTATCCAACTTTGTTGATTTTGACACTGGTCCCTGTTAAGTAGGTAACTTTCAAATAATTTTAATGTTAATCATCTAAATTCCAAATTAAATAATTTATCTAATAATATATTATGATGGTATCAAAAGCTTTGGCAAGATCTAAATAAACAGATGCATCCTTGGCTATCCGGGATGAGCTGCGTCTCGGTCAGTTGTGCTTCGGCAGATGTTTCGGCCATCTTGCTGTGGCCTTCTTCAGAGCTATACTGCTGAAGCGAGATAGCCAAGAATGCATTGACTCCAGCTGTGGAAGCCTACAAACCTTAAATAAACAGATATACGAGATATTCGAGGTTGTCTTGTCAATTGAGTCACAAATGATATCTGTAATAAATCTCGTGGCATCTTCCATACCCTTGCCTTCTTGAAAATTAAATTGTAAGGGATTTAGGGTTTTGTTTGTGAATATTGTTAATCATTATAATTTGAATCACTTTCTCGAAAACGTTACCAATAATGGATAATTGGTCTGAAGTTTCAAGGTTTATCTTGGTCGCCTGATTTTTATCTCTTCTTTTCATTTCTTTTCTTTTTTTCCCCCTCAATTAAGTGGTTCAAGAGTTAAATTTCTAGCAAAACTAGAACTAAAAGTCTCTAAAAATGAGGATTTACAAAGCCATTCTCACCTGTTCTGATGTAACAACTTTCTAACATGTATGGGGAGAAAAGAAAAATTAAGATGCTTTTGATAAAATAAGATGAGTTTGAAGTCTGAAATTTAGTTTTTCTTGGACCCTACTCTATTCCTCTCAGAACTTACTTACACCACACTGAATTAATGTATGGAGATATTTTTTTACGTTATCCCACTATAGCCTAAATTTTGAAATTTCAATAATTATAGAGTAAATTAAGGTAAAAGTAACTTTTTAATTCAGTTTTTCCCTCTTTTTTGATAGCTTTCTTATGTATACTTTGTTCTGTGTTAAAGCATACTCTCGAAGAGCTGATTTGGAAACCCTTGGATACAATCTTCTGCAATGGTTATGTGGCCGTCTTCCATGGGAAGACTCTTTATCTGATGGAGAAGCTGTCCATGCTTGCAAAAACAACATGATGTCAAATCTCTCCCTTTTAATGAGACAATGTTTTCCAGATGGGACTAGATATGGCAAGTATTCAGTTTGCATCTTATAATTGATTGAGACAAATTTTCGCTGGGAAGTTATTTTTGGTAGTTGTAGGATCGTTTTGTAGTTAATAGTTATTAAGTTTAAATGTACACAATTTTTACTATTACTTTTCATAAAATTTGAATTTAAAGCTAGGGTTTTGTCAAGTGATCTTACAATGAATTTTCATCATAAGGAGATAACATAATCCTAAGTTGGGTATTGATAATGTTACAATTTGTTTTGTTTGCAATGTTGTTTATTACTATGATTCTTTCTTGTTCTCCTTTTTCTCTTGAAAAGCCTACTTTTGCATTCCTGGGATTTGCATTTTTCTTTTAAACTTCTGGCTGTGCAAATGCAAGAAGGTTCACTAAAAATACCAGTTTATGATACGAGAAAGATAATTACTCAATAGTGTCCTGGGCTATGTTTTATTGCGCTCAATTATATTTTCAAAATAAATGAAAAATTGTGTTGCAATAAAAGACTATATAAGTGCACATTTCACTTCTGCTCTTGCTATTATCTCTGATTAGTAATAATGCTGAATCTACGTTTCTACAATGACCAGCAGCTCTTAGAGATTTATATTATTTATTTTTTTACTCTTAATTTTTTCAATTTGTTTTTTCTCTATTAAATTATGTCAAGACAATCACAGATAGTTGGCGCCTTTACTTCCATGTTATTCCCTTCTCTCACTTGCATGTTTACTTCGTAATTACTACTAATTTTACTTCCTAGACACAATATTTATTTAGGGATGGGATACTGTTTTTAAAAGGTTCCAAAAGTTCATATGATCATTAAATTAGTTCAATAAGAGCCTTTGTATTTTAGAAAAGGGAGGGGAGAAAATAAAAAAAAACTGTACAAGTGTATTTTGAAGAGGGAACTGAAGGGATTCAATGATTTTTCTTTAAAGGTTAATATTATTAATGAACTTCGAATTAAGTTATCTATATTCTATTACGTAAGTAAATGTTATTTCACACAATTTATACTTAACCTATGATTTACAAATTTTTTTTCTTTCTTATAATAGGCATTTTATTGTACTGCATGCCTGGTAAGATGTGGAACAGAGAAAATTCCAAATTAATTGATCTAACTCCTTGTATGGTGGGCAGATTGATGGGTATTTTTTACATTATAAGTGGAATTTACTTTTAACCGAATTTGGAAATAAATTCAATTTATCTGCAATTTCTTGCAGGAAATATATACTTTTATATTTGAAGTGTTGTGATTTCTGATAAAAGTGCTGATGTAATTATTTTTTTCCCAGATGTTGTGAGCCAATACCTGAAGTATGTATCTGCTTTGACATTTGATGCTACTCCAGATTATGCATACTGCCGGAGATTACTTCGTTCTGGAGTTAATGGTGCAGGTTTTGTAGATGACGGAAAACTAGTATTTGGATCTGGTTCGGTTCCCCTTCTTGCACCTAATAAGTTAAAAAAGGTAAGAAGATTTCTTAATTTTTAAATGTGAAAGCTTTCTTGTTTAGAGATAATTTTACGATTTATGTTGTTTGAATAGTTAATGGTACAAAAGTAGTTTGAAACCACTTGCATATTGAGTGTTGGGTGCTATATACACTCAGGTGACAAAGGACAGGGATTCCTCGTAATATGGTGTCAGACCTTCTGCCTGGCGAAGCATCTAGATGTGCCATTGGAAGTTCTCAGAAATATTTAGCCATGCTGCCTCTATAGCTGTGTTATGGTGAAGGATTTTGTGCACAAACTGACCTCTTGGTTATGGCACAACCTGTAGAGGGTGGCCAAATCATTTTCTCAAATTGTCCTGAATGTTCTTCAAACAAATTGCAAAAAATTGTGGCTCGGTGACAGAGCGTTGTCATCCACAAATATTCCATCATACTTCGAGAACATGATGTCCATGAATGGCAGCAAATGGTTTACAAGTAGCTGAACTGAACATAACCATTTCTAGTCATTGATCGGTTCGTTTGGCCCAGAGGTCCTAGTCCATTGTAGACCAGGGCTGTCTTTTGTGTACTGTGTATGGGAAGTGAATTCCATGGATTTACTTCTTGGTTTACAATAAAATAACATTGTCCTGTCCTTGTCTTTTCTTTCACTAGTTTCATCGTTTGTCCTCTTAAGTCTAGATTCCGTCACTTTAATAAAGAAATTGTTAAATTCAGAAATGTTATAATATCCATTCATGATTTTGGTTTTGCAATATTATTTCTTCTGTTATAATGTTAGAAGTGATATCTCTGCATATTCCTTTGTAATCCAATTGACGTAGTTCTCTAGGAATCTTGGTAATTAGCCATTGTACTTTTTCAATATGTTTTTATCTTTTTGATAATACGGGGACCAAACAACATTAACATAATCTGGTTTAGGTTTAATATACACCTTATACATCAGATTTATCGTAGACGGATACAATGTAGTTGCAACAATGATTTGAAAAGAGTAATTTACTTTTTTCATAAATAGGTTGAAATATACATTGTGTTTAGAGTCTTCAAGCTATAAATGACTGTGAATGTACTAGAAACTTCTTTTACCAATTAGATTCCATTGACTTTTTAAAAGAAATGTGTTTAGTTTCCCTTATATACCCACAGGGCTGTGGTGTTGATTAATTGCAGTGAGTTACTAATTTAGAGATTCAGATCTTTGATGTGTGTTGGTAATACTGATGGTTATTCATGTGTTTCTTATCAATTAATACTATAGTAGATATTGCCAGATTATTAGCTACTTTAAAAGGACATGTGGCTGTTCCTAAAGCAAAGTCTCCAACAAAGACAAAGAGAAAAGATGTTCTAAGTTCTGAGAAAAATGCTCAATGCAGGGCTCTTCCTTTATCTTGAAAAAGACAGCAATTCAGTTTGCTACCGTTAGATAACTTAAAACTGTGATGTTTTCCTGGTGGGTAAGTGCTGCCATCCGTAGCAAGTATTTTGTTTTCTTACTCTTTTGTTTACACTTACTGTTGAGAAAGGAAGTTATTTTGAAAAAATGCTTTAAGTGCATTCATGATCTTTAAAGAAATACTGGTTGTAATTTAAGCACAAAGATAGTTCGTAGGCAGCTTCCTGGATATGGTTGACAATGCCACTGACTTATAAAAATGCCGAAGTTAAAACTGGCCATGATGAGAATGCATTTATCTTTGAGACAGGGATTGGTCATAAGTATTTTGGTTTTTATGACCATCTTTTGTTGCAGTCCCTATCAAAATTTTAAAATATTTTCAATTACTGTTTGTTTTTTTTCCTTCTTATTTTGTACTCCATTATTTTCCTTGTTGCTAGTTTTTCTCAGATGAGTTGATGCGGAAATTATGCAATTAGCAGCAGCAAGTATGGAGACTGGAGAGCAGTTTAAATCTGAGGGTATTAAGGAAACTCCATGGCACAGGACCTTTGTACTTGTTTTGTGGAGTACTGTGAGGAAGGAACAGTACAAACTTCCCCTGAATAATTAATTCCTCAAATGAGTTCAGAAAATGATGGAATTGCCATGAAAGTTGAGCCATCTTGCCATACTTCCAAATACATTGAGGCATCTGCAGTAGTTAGGCATCAAAGCATTCTACTAGACAGAGAGTAGCCCAGATTTAAAGGATATATTATTTTAAAAGGAAGTGAAATAAGGGCTACTTTAGATACCAATATGAATGGTTACATGCAATTAAATATTTGTGTAGGCATTAATTGTCTCAAGGAGGAAATTGAAGAGAGTTTTATTTGATAGGTCTTGGTGAATCTACAGAGGGCAATTGCTTTAATACTGGAACTACGGGAGCAGTCATTCTCACTGTTTTAAAGTTTCAAGTTTTCTTTTATGTACAGTGTATGGGAAGTGAATTCCATGGATTTACTACTTGATTTACAATAAAATCACAAAACGTTGCCTATATTTTTATTGATTTATTTTTGATATTGTGCGACTTAATATTTGAGGATATTCTATGAAATGGTGGAATATAATTTTTGTAGACATCTTAGTTTTTGAGATAATAGCTAATTCTACAAAGTTTTCTTTCAACGATGAGTAGCTGTGAAAATGACTACATGTTTTAAATACAATTGGGGGCAAGGACAAATCTTACAAGCTCTCACTGTCAAGTCTTAATCCAGACACTGGAGTGTCCAAGTATTTTATAACATCAATTTAGCGGGAATCAATTCTTGCATTCTGTATGAAAAGGTTTCTCTGGAATCAATTCTCTGGAAACAATTTGTCCCATCGGTCATATTTTTTGAACCTGGCTGAAGAACTCTGTACGCCACTACTACTCGTGGATGAATTGGATTTAATCGGCTCTTGATTTTTGATGTTCATTCAGCTAAACAAATTCCATAGCAAAATGCAAAAAATGAGTCAATAAAAATATTGGCATTCAAAATCTGTGTAGAGGTAATTGCTAAAATGACTTCATAAAGAAGCTTGTTAAATCAAAAATTTTCTGCCTTCAATTGGAAAAATAATTGTTAAAATTACAAGGACTATTCTTAGTATTCAATAAAACGAAAAGTTCTTACTGCTTGTTTTGTTTGCAGAAATCTACGAAGCGAGGAGCCACTGAAGAACCTGAAAACATAGCGGAGTTGAAGCCTAAGAAGATTGTTCGCATTGTGCCGCGCCAACCATGTGTAGCTCATAATCTAAACAGGTACACTTAGTGATAACATATCTTGAGAAAACCTTTTAATGAACCTGCGTGTTATATACTTTGCATAAGTTTTTTATGAAAATTTATTTTGAACAATTCTTAAGACATTTTGTAGGTACTGAAGTTTTCCACAACCGGATTAATTGGTTTGAAGGGTATCATCAGATATTTATGCTGTTGAAGATTCTCGTGCAGTGCGACTCGAAGCAAACTCCAAGGAGAAGGCTTAAAAATATTGAACCATTAAAAATTCAAATTAACCAACAAATATGATCCATAAAAAATTTCCAACTTATTTAAATTTTAGTTATTCTTCAGCATTCATTGTTGGTTTATTTAAAAATTTTGTGGGGAACCAACTTTTCAAATTTAATCAAAAACGAAACTGAAAATTATGGAATCAACCTTTAATCTCATAATGTGGAAAACTTGCATTTGTCATGGGGAATGGTTGCTTAATGTCAATTACTTCATTTGTAATGACCAGACAAGTTCAGATGACAATTAAAACTTCAAATGAGTTATTCAGATTAGTTTCTATTTATCATATTGAATAAAACTTGTTACACTCCCACATTGGTTTAATGTGTGACAAAAATGAGCTTCTTAGAAGTTTCTGCCAATATTGTTTGTAAGGTCCCATAACTCCTTGATAATTTTAAGATAGTTTGATTCTTTCAGTTTAATTTTTTGTGGTGGGAACTTTGTATTTTGAGGTTTGGGGGTGACAGAAGATGAACCAAAGGCCAGAATACAGTTTCTCTCCGAGTAGCTGAGAGTGTATTTCGACAGTTACTGTTGATGTTTGTCACACTTTTGTTGTTATTATTATTATTATTATTATTATTATTATTATTATTTACTACATCATTGAACTGATATACATTTTGTTATACAGTAATAAACTTTTTTCTTTTCTGATGCAGGATGACTAGAAATTCTCACATGCCAATAGTTCTACGGTCACAGCAATTCAATTGGGAAAAAGTTTTGTCTTCGGATCCTGAACGACAGTTGAAAAAGCTGTCTCGTCCTGTAGTGAGAGCAGAGCCTCCGCTTTCTAATGAGGAGCCAGTTAGAAAACACACTCCCACCACACCCTCTCGACCCACACCGGCTATGTTAAGTGTGCTGGCTCGCAAGAAGGAGCGAAATTCTTCAGGAGCTGCTGCTCTTAGAAAAACTCGTAGTGACAGGTAAATATCTTAACTTTACTATTTCAGCTTCAGAATTCCTTTGCTCTCTTCTTTAGATAGAAACAATTTATAAGCAAGTTATGAAAAATATTGGTGTGAACTATTTAGTCATAATTACTGCAGATGTTGATATTTAAACTTTTATTTTTTTCATGCAGTAGTCGAAGTTGTAGTCCAATGTTAGAGTCCTCTCCCTTTGGGGCACTTACCTACGCAATGGAGGAAGTTTTGAAAAGAAGAGAAGAACTTGCAGCTATGGCAAATGTACCATTCGACTTCTATGAGGGTGACGACTCTGATTTAGAATGCCTTCACAGAGTTACACGATCAGGCCATAGAGTATTTAAGCGAAGATCTCCAAGATTGAAATTCAAAAGAACTGCAAACATTCAATCTCCAGGTTAGTTGGCACAACAACCTGGCAACAGATTGATCAGTACTGTTAGGTGATCCCAGTTCTCAGAAGGGTTCACTTTTTTTAATGTCTGATATGAATTTAGTGTAATGTTTTCTCTCCAGGTGGCAAGAGGAAGGCTGTGATAAATCAAAATAAAAAATGTAGATACTCCCCTTCCACACATCCAAGATCACATGACACGTTGAGAGGGTAGTGTTTAACACTTGACTTTCCTGTACATTCAAAGATGATTTGTTCCTTAATAGACCTTGCTCTTTTATTAATGACTGATTTGTAGTTACTCTAGCATTTCTTCCATAGCAATGCCTTTCCGGAAAGTACTCACCCTTACAAAAGTTAGTCATACAATGTGCGTATTTTATATTGGGTGTATGTACGTGTGTGAGAAAGAAGCAGTGTGGTTTGTGCTCAGCACCGTCCATTGGACAGGTATTGAAATAAGTGTAGGCTAAAGACTGCAATATATCCTCGACTCAGACTGAACAGACAAGAAGTTATGTTGAAAAAATGCTTCGGGTGTTACATTGCAAATGTTTTAAATTGTGTGGTTGGGTTGTATTTTTATATAATATTGATATGGTAGGCTTTATGCAAGACAGAAGTTCCTTATATTACTTATCTTGCATGAATAGCCAGCTCTGCTTTGTGTGAAGTGTAGTAAATATGATTCGAGACAAGTAGACTGAATAAAACTTGTGGGAATGGTAGTTCCCTAGTCAAATGAAACATAAGCAGCTGCAAGTTGGTAATATTTTAGGATGTTGCTTCTCTGCTGAAAGTAGTAGCAGGCAAAGAATTCCTAACATGGCTGCCAGAATTTTGTGGTGTAGGCCTCATCTTTTCTTCACAAGAGAAGCGTTTGTAGACTAAATGTTTGTGAATTGTAAATGAATGAATGTAAATTTTGTACTTTTCTGTGAATAATGTGAAATACCAATTTGTATGTATGTGTGCATGTGCATATTCAAATAATTCAAAGGAGTAGTTGTTTTAATAGTCATGTTTTGTAGATTGACAATTCTAATGAGCCACTGTATTAAGTAATATGCAGCCGAGCTCAATATGAAGTTTGCTCTCTTTATATCTATAGTCGTACATGTTGACCAATTTCTTTTAAAACTAAATAATTGATGGAGGAATCTTTGTTTTACTAGGAAATGTATAAACTGGTCAAGTTTCAACATTGAGTATAGGCAAAAATAGTTTTTAATTTTAAATCTGTACATTGGTATGCAGACTGTGCTGCACTTGTGAGAAGATTTTGGCACAAATACATGTACAGTAGGTGAAACAACTTGTAGCAGTACTAGTCCACAATGCAGCACAGTCTTAATGTTAAAATAAAATTATAATAAAAACTGCGCAAGTTTTCACAAGAGTTGCACTACAAACATGAGTACTGATAAAAATTTGACTTATATACTTCTGTATATATATCTAAATCTTATATAACAATGTAATTTTAATGTTGTAGTATACAATAAACTGTCTTTGCAGAAGAGATGACTTGTTAATAATGTAAGAGTTCTAAGCATCCTCACTCTGTGCCACGCCCTTGTAGCTTCTGAGAACTGTAGTCTTCAATGTGCATTCCTGAAGTGTCTGCAACAAGCGAGTCATTACCAAAAAACTCATATCAATATTGTTCCATTTCTAACAACTTCCAACCATTTACCATATTTACCTGAATATAAGATAATATGTAATTGTTTTTCGTTACTACCATTGTCACATTATTTTTCTTTTAGGTCCTCTCATGGTATATGGGCTTCGAAATTTTAATCTTCTGCTTAAGAACACTCCCTATTTAATCAAAGTTTGTTGTGAACTGTGAACTTGTACATCTGTTCCTATATATATAACCCACGAAGCTTGAGAAATTTTTTCTAAGAAAATATTTTGTTATTCTGTGGATGTACATAGAAAACATTCTACAAATGCGATTGTTTTCTCTCTTCATCTCCTTGCCAAATGTCAAACTGAGTTCATGTGGACGTGAACAAAATCTTAGCAATGAATTTTATTCGCTTTCACAGTTCGTTTCACTTACAATGCCCTTTACTGGCCTGTTCATCTGAATAGCCTGGCAAATTCATGATGGATGCCAATAAAACATCTCTAAATATTATTAGGTATTATAGTTACATGCAATATTTGCCTTTGTAACTTTGTTTATCAGCATTTTAGTTTCTTTGTCAAAATAATGTAAAATTGAAAATCCTAACAAACAAGGCTTAGGCTGTGAATATCAACTATTTTTCGAAAGATATTTAGGGGAAAAGAACTGGTCTTATTTTCAGGAAAACATGGTATATTATTACATATTATAGATAAATGTGATATTTATTGCCAACTTATTGTTTCATCAGCATTTTAGTTTCTTCTAAAGATGTAAACTTGAAAATCCTAACAAATAAGGCTGCCTGTGAATAGTATACTGTTTTTTTAAAACCGATTGAGGGGAAAAACTGGTCTTATATTTGGGTAAATAGGGTATATTGGATTTAATTTTGATATTTAATGTGTTCAGCAAGAACAAGAAGGTAATTTGGGCATAATTATTTTGAGGACTACATTTTATTCATTTTTCACCCTTGACAATATTTCTATTTACTCCGATCAGAAAGCTACGTCTTGTTTACGGAGGCACCACACTCTTGCATTGTCAAGCAGAGCAACTGTTAGATAATAGGAGAGTAAATTCAGATGATACAGACAACCACGAATATAAATTGTTTACACGCACAGTATCCAAAGAGGAAATAATTAAATAAGCTCTCTTAACAATTGTAAACAGATTTTGTCGTGTATTTAGAGGTCTAGCTGCAATAAAGTACACAAATATCTGAAAATCATCTGAAGTGTAAATATGTTAGTCTGAAACAACATTTACATATGCTTATGGCAAGAAAACACACACACAGTAAACTAGTGGTGCTTCAGAATGACACAGACTATCTTGTCTAATTTCTTTAGTCTGGTCTAGCTTTTCTGTCTTGCCACATACCTTTGCAAGCGGCCATCTATCACCGTCTAAGTACACTTTTTTGAAATTTCTCAATTTTTCAATTTTTCGGTTTAGAAATAGTGGAACCAAAACATTACTTTAAGAAAATTAAAGAAGAATAAAACCTTGGGCTAAATGGGAATTTTCATGGAAAAATTCCGAGCCATTTTTAAGGAAATCGCCGTTAAGCGTTACTATAAATGCGAAATTTTAAACTCTTTTTCAAAGAAAATTTTGAAGGTTTTCAAAAACTTGATAGGAAGTGATCTGAAGCGCCTCCACTCACAAACTCAATAGTGTTTACAAATCATTCAAAATGTGCGTACTAACAGTAAGATGCCTGAAAAAAAAATTACATTTGTATAATTTTTGAAAAAACAAAATTATACAGAAAAAAAAAATCTTATGTCATCTCTAGTCATTGGATGTTTAGGAAAATGCCTATTCTAATGAAAATATTTAAAGGCAATTACTATATGTATATAAATTATGAAAAACTAAACAGTCTGAAGAATTTTTATTTTGCCTTTTTGTCTTTTGTGACATGCATTTTTAGACATACTTTTCTTTTTAAATGCTCTTTTCTTAAAATTTATTTATATATTTCTTTTTATTCTTGGTAAAACAGAAGTTTAAATATTTAAGTTCTTCTAATCACATAAATTTTCTACTGGTAACGTATCTCCATAGTTTGTCTTGACTGAAGCTGTCATTCGGGTTTGCAGGTCACAGAATTTTTTGGAACCGAAAAGCTTGCATTCTGGCTTCAGATTTCTTTGTCCAAATAAAATAAAAAAACTGTGGTCTCTGGGCACTTGGTTGAGTGCTGAGCACCAATTTGCAACCTACTCAAAGCACACTCGTCTCAGAGGGCAAGGTGATGATCCTCATTTCAGACATTGATATTTTTCTGTGCCAGATAATTTTCTGGGAAGTACGCAGAGTATGCCTGTCTCTGCTGGGCTTGTGGTCTTCATTTTGCCCTCATTGGTGAGAGTTGTACACCACACGAAGTGCTTCATCAGTGCCTCTTAAGAGTATTAACCGAGCTCAATCCTGGAAAGATGTCAAAGGCTATCACTAATGATTCATTAACAGATTCTTTTCTCATGTATGTTGTTTTTTGGTATTGGCTAATTTTAGATGCAAGTGAAATGAAATATATTCTTGTCTTTTTCCTCCAATTGTAAGTTTTAAAGCCTTTTTTTGGTGCATATTTTAAAAAAAATTTGTGCCATTTTCGGTCCCTAAAACATAAGTTTTAGAGCCTTAACATCTTATGTCGAGTCATCCCAAAGAGTTCAATTAGCACTATATGGAAGAAAATTGTGATTACGCGTATCTCAAAATGCAGAATTTTGAGGTTGTTTTCACTGAAAACTTTTGAGTTTTGGAAAAACTTTATATGGCATTATTTAAAGTACATGTACGCACAAATGCAATAACTTGAACAAATCACCACTAATGCAAATATTAACAATGTGAGAGACAACAAAAATATTACATTTTTGTAATTTTTGAAAAAACAAAGAAATAGAGCAATATGGTGTTTGTCATGACATATATTGTACAATAGTCACTATCACTATAAAAAATTTTCCTTTAAACTTTTGGAGCAGTTTTTGAGAAAATTTTGTTTTTTTTATTTTTTTAAATTACACATTTCACAAAATTTTGCAGATTGACAAGGGAATATTTATTTTTGAAAAAAACCTACGTACGTTCCGGTGCTAGTGGTGTTCACAGCCAGACATTTTGGAAAAGAAAAAAACAAACCTTTTTCGGTATGAGGGGATCCCCAAAACGTCTATTTATGTCGAACTCTCAAAATCAATTTTCCGCAGCATTACATAACTTTCCCTCTACTTGTTCATTACTCCATATATACATACGTATATGAGAAAGTAAAAACAGCAGTTGAACTAATTTGACTTTTTCTGAAACATTTGGCAGTATTGAATTATTGTGTTCCTGTCCTGACCAAATTGTAAATGGTGACATCACAAAGGAGGTTCAAAACATTGTCATCTGATGCACAACTTAACCCTTGCAATACACAAGCAGACACTGAATGAACTCACTACCATGGATCCAACTATTTCACATTTCCACATTATTTTGAACAAGTGGTATATCTCATTTCATTTTGAGCCTGAACCAAATGTTTTTGAGCCAAATGTTTAACTTTACTTCTTTTAACTCTCAAATGAGCCAGCCTGGTAAGGTTTAGGCCCACCCAAGAACATGAAGACTGGGTTCACATCCTTCATAAGGCATGGATTTGTTTGTTATTTTTGTGGCAAGGTAGCTGTCCTAGTCTCTTATGTACCAACTTGAAAACTTAATCCTTTGATTTAGAATGCAGATAGCAACTGCTATTTGAGATTTCTACGACAAATTTGCTTTCACTCCACTGTGTCAGTTGCGAATTTCTATTTACACAATACCATCTAACCTTACCAACCTCACTGTATACTTCTGTCACTGGTTCACTAGTCATCCCAACCTTAAAGAAAAGTGCAATGCATAATTTCCAGGGATTATATTGCCAAAATACTTTTTGCAAGCCCCCCCACACTTATGCAACCACTTTCGACTACTTTGGCATTCTGTGGCTAGTGCTAATATTAGTTTGATGAAATCTGATCAGTCAGCTTTATCCAAACACACAAAGTGAATTAATCAGCTACTTCTAACGCTAGTGGACAAACTTCGGAATTAGGTTGCAACATAAGCTTGTAAGTATTCTTAAATTTTGTATTTTTGTTGAATGGTGGCTTTGAGATATGTTAAATCTAATAACTGAGCAAGCTTGCCTTTTTCTACTCCTCACAATCTGTACCGTTCATTGGTTACATGGAAGTCGCATGTATACTCTCTTGTAAAACAGCTCTCAAAAGCTTTATAAAACTTCGTTTTTTAATAAGTACAAGATGTATATTTACTTGGTAGTGCTGATTTCATAACTGAACTCAAGATTTATTTCACCACATAACATTTTTCTCAGCGACTTATGTCAGCTATTCAGCATTTACCTTATGAAGTTAAGGATATCCAATAAAATAAAACATGTTTTGGAGATTATATTGCTTATAATTTTTACTACATAAACCATTGTACATAACCTCATATACAATCTTAAAACCAGTCTTTTTCTCTTTGTGAAGTTGCAAGTATGGCTCTTGCTTTGACATGTGATCTGTAGTATCTTGGTGCAGCATTCAACTGTAGTCTCCCATCACATCCACTGACCCTAATACTTCTTTCCATTTTAAAAATATTAAGGTGGAAACTTTCTCTTGCCTTAAGATGAAAAAAGGAAATGGAAAATTAAAATTTAATAACCCCAAAATTTGCTCTAAAAATGGATATAATTTAATTAAAAAGTTTATATTTATAAAAACAAAGTGCAGTCAGTAAGTCTTCAAAAAATTTCATGAAATATGGAGGGACTGCAAAATTAATAAACCATAAATTCTATATGGCAGGTCTGAAAAACATATTCATTTGAATGCAAGAATTCTTGGCCAGGAAGCCAGTACAACATTCAGAAGAATGTTTGAAAATATTTCACACCAACAAAAGGTAAAGGAAAACTTAGTAACAACTTGTGTAAAATTTTATTAAACATTTGGAAGAAAATAATTTCTATTTTCACCAAATTCTTTTTTTTAAACCTTTTTATCACATGTCATTTTTGTGACATAATGAAATTAATGATAAAAAAAATAAGTACTATTTTGAAATGAAAACTTAAATCCAGAACATTTGAGATAAAAAAATTGTATCTTTGAAGTTTAATCTAGAATGTAATTAAATTAGAAATTCTGACCAGAAAATGACACTATACAAGTGACTCCCTCTTCCTGCTAAAACTATGGTTGAGCTGGCGTTGACTCGTAATGTTCCCAGTGAGTCCTCATTCTTCTGACAGATCTCTCCACACTTAAAGGAATGCAAGTGGTCGTGCCTGATCTCAGAAACTTTGGATAATCACAGTGACATGCTTTCCAAGTGTTAATAGTTAATTAGTATATCTTTGTATTACTTAAAAAACATGTTTAATAATTAGACTTTTTTTTTGAAAGAGAAATGTAATGATAGAACATATGTCATTTATCTACTAAGTAAAAATATATAGCTGATCAATATTTCAAACTGGGAACAAAGCTATGGAATGTATAAAAGATGGAAATATATTACACTACAAAGTCCATTAACAAAGAACATTTGTACCGGACAAAAAAAATGCAAGTTATTTGTTGTTTTAAATTAATAGCTTCTTTATTTCTAGCCAGTTTGCTTGAACTATTATCCAGATAGGAGCAGCAGACAATCAGTTTAAGCAACAAACAATTCAGCCCAATTCCAGTGATTTCGTGCCCTTTAAGCTTCCTTCACTTCCACAGTTTCAGAACACTAGAGCTTGTATACATGCACTCGTTAATATAATTTCTCAGTTAAACATTTAACATTGCAGGGCAGGATTCATCACGTCATTTCTGTGCATAAGAAAATCAGGGCTTCCACAAATGAGAAATTAAAACGTGATTTAGACTAATGTCTTGTAAGGCTTTTACACAAACCTGAAAACGTCATGTTGTTTTCTACACTTCAATCTAAATCTTGAATTTTATTATTTTCAGATTTAACAAAAAGGTTCAAGAAAATCTTTTGCAAATGAATTGATAATGAATCAATAAAACCTTCACAACACTGCATAACTTCATACTACTGGCCTGGTCGTTGTATTTTTGATAAAAGCATCATTATTACCAATTATTAATATTATTATTAACAAATTTAATATTGTTGCCGTGGTGAAGTATTCGAGACAAATATCACAGATTTTCTCATTCATATGGCCTTCCTTTATCTTTTGATTGTTGCATGTTTTCTTGTATCTAGTTTTTTTTAAGGGTATAATATGCATTTCAACTTACCTATGTGACTTGGTTCAACAGTTACAGCAGCAGGCTCTGATGCAATTGCATCTGAGTCCTGTAGAAAATGTAATGGTTCTCCCATAACTTGAACCTACAATACATATGAACTTCATTGTTAATATGCACAATAATACTTGGTGCTCAAAGTACATATCAAATAGAAATGTTTTTCTGACCTGATTATTATCTTCTCCAACAGTTACTTCAATACTACTACCCGGCTGTGTACCACTTGTTATTGTTTCTGTATTAGAAAGGTAAAATCAGTGACATGTATAAAACAATAATGGCAAATACCAAAAATATAGTTTTAAACAGTACTTTTAAATGCCAAATAACTTACAGACATAATACTAAGTAAATATAATCCAAGTATGATTGCAATTACATCAAGGTTTTTGATTTTTCTTTTTTGCTGCGGGCGAAAGTCCACAAATTATGTAACACAAATTTGGAGCATTTTGAATATCCCCTCTCCCCACAGTAACACAACTGTAACATGCACTTGAAACCCCCCTAAATGATTACATAATACTTGTGACAACACACACACGCAATTTACAAGTATAAATAAATTATATAGCAGTAATAATAATTTGTATAATTTTTATTTGTGTACATATTAAAATTTAGGATAATTAAAGTCACAATTAGTTTCTGCACATTAACATTAAAATTACGTTAATGATAATTGAGGCCTATTCTGTAAGAAGTGCACATTAGCTTATATGCATGCATAGGCTTAGGTGCCCTTCTTCTGGAATCAACCTCAATTGTTACTGAAAGTAGTAAGAGATTACATTATTTTAATGATTAAACATTGTCCAAAACATCTATTTTTATACATTTTTTTACATTACTTTGGTATTTATCATTAGTTAGAATAGAATCAAAACTTAGTGACAAATTTTTAAAATTTAATTTGTTAATTTTTAATGTTTCAGTATACGATTGGACAGATAGAATTATTTCAGATATTGTTGAAAAATATCAATGAATTTCATTTTTCAAAACATTTCTGGATGAGAGACAAGTGAATACAATAGTCCAGTCAAATTACACAACTCAAGAGAAATAATTCCCAGAATTTTGAAATTTAGCATGATTGTTTGTAGCTGCCTTCAGTCCTGTAATCCTGAAGGATGGGGTATGAGCTGGGAGTAAAGTTGTTCTGTAAGGGTAGTTTGTCAATGCTTTTTGCATATATCTCCAAAATTATCAATAAAATTATAACCTACACAAAATTAATGTAGATTTCAAACTTCTCTGCATTCAATAGAGTTCAAAATAATCAAAAAACCAAGCTTTTTGTTCTAAAATGGTGAGTGGGAAAAAATAAGTTTCTATTGCATTTTTAAATATAAATTAATTACTGAAGCTTAGACAATAACATAAGTGTTAGAAAATTACCATGTTTTATTACATCAAATTCTCATACATCAGGGTAGCAGTTTCAAATCCAGCAACTGACTTTTTTCTTTCTTTTTTCTGTTATTGGAACTAAAACTAGGTCAACCTTGGCATTGAAACCTGCTCTGATATTAACCCGGGTTAAAACTTCGCGAAAAGCTGCTATTAAAAAAAAAAGAAAGTAAATTCAGCCAGCAAACATGAAAAATTGTTGTTATAAATGGACAGTTTTCTACAGTACCAATTTTAAAAAGAAAAATGTTACCTCCCAGAATGAAGTTGCATTTGTTATATATATATAATATATATATATATATATATATATAGTATATATATATATATTGTCTATTGGAGAGGCATGGGCATAAGAAGAGAGGTTTTTTTAGTGGGGGACACCACAAGGAATCACCCATTTTTTATCCCTGACTGTACCTAATGTATTTTTCCCCTCAGCCAATAAAAGCAATAATAATAATTAAATTTAAAAAAGGGAGCTATTACATTCTCACAAAGAACAAGAAACATGACAGAATCATGGAATCAGTTTGCAATCTGACAATTCCTAACATATTTATAAAAATCAATGATACCTCAAACTCTAAGGCATTTGATTATCCACGTTCTGATTACCTAAAGCAGCCATAAGAAAAGGCAACAAAATAATTTATTGGTAAAAAATTGATGCCATCAGTGATTCTAGGAATGTTGGCACTTGCCCCAATTGCATAATCATTGGATACCCTCGTCAAACATTGAGAAAGTTATTTGTCATTGCCATGTTTAATTTGTCCCTCTGTGAGTGTGGAAAAGGTCTTTATTCCATTTATATTGTTTTATGTATTTTCTAAACAGTGTACATAATCCTTTGGCAAAAGTTCAAAATATTTTACTGAATGAATTACGGATTATCCAAGTTTTTTTTATAACCAAGATAATTTTGGCCCTAATAATCTCAGAAACTCACAAACATGCTGAATAAAATGAGATGATAAGAAATTAAATATTAGAGTTTTTTGCGCAAAGTTGGCAAAGTGTTAATAAACTTTGAACAAAAATAAAACTACTTCCAATTACTGAACTTACTAGAACATCATTATTATAAAGGGATAACAAAAATAAACCTCTAAGTAAAATTCAGCACTTTCAAAGCCTGTTCATTCTCCGACAACACTTTATAAGACCTTTTTTGTAGAAAGTGTAGTCTATATTAATTTAGTTTAATTTTGTTGCAATTTTCCATTGGATTGATAACTACGGAGATATGATGTACTGATTATATCAAGGAACAATGTTACCAAACTTCAAAACTCAGAAATTTATTTCATTTGACCACCATTTTGGAGTCTACTTTTGACTTACTACAATTAATTTCTGAAAAAACTTAATTTTGCAATAAATTAAGTTAACAGTGTAATAATATCAATTTTTATTAGATTCTTTTGTTACAGGCGTTTCTTAAAAAATATCTGAAAAACCTTTATAAAATCTGTTCATATTTTTCCAAGATAGTACTTAATGGAAGGATATCCATTAGTTGAGACCACGATGTTTCAATGCCCACAATGTGAAACCCTGTCTTGTAACATAATCTCTTTAGTACTCATCTTCTTGTTATCCTGCTTAAGATGGTACAAATTAAAATTTTTACTTTCTCGTATACTACTATGTAGGGCAGAGAAAGTATTGTAATGATAGCAGAAAAAAAGTCGATAATTACAGAAGAATTTATTTTGTCTCTGATAATGAAGAAGTGGATTTTTTTGCCTGAAAGACGTAAACTTTCCATGGGGATACTTCATCTGAAGCTCTTAATGACATTTTTTAAAACAGCCCAATTGACTTAAAAATAGGTCACAAAAGCATTTTCCTTGAATACCTTAATGTATCCTGACACTAGTTAAAACCCAAAGTTTTTGACCTTTGAAATTGTGCTAATTGTGGGAGGTTCTCAAAACTGGTGTGAAAAGAGAAAAAGAAATTTAAACAATTGCTTTTCAACAATTACCCATAAAGATTTACTCTGAGCTGGTTATGCTGCTTCTTAGATACATCATGGTAATAAATACTACACAACACTGCTACAGAGACTGTGACTGTAATCATACGTGATGTTGGATCATCTGTTCTTCCTAAAAGTACCAGCTACTTGTGAAGGCATTTATTTCTAGAAGAGGTTCTATTCATAAAAATCTTTCAAATACGACCTAGTCCTTATCCATTTTCTTCAAATTTTTTGTGCAAGTGATACAATCACGCAGTGTAGGCAGAGAAAGTAAATATTTTGTCGTAAATATCTGGGGTTGGCCAGGTATATATTTATAACAATCCTCTATTAAACACTCCTACCCATCTCACCCATTATGTCAGTGTGTATTATACGCAGTACATGCATTGCGAGTTGTGTAATATTGTATGTAAATGTCACTCCCTTTCTATCCCTGCCTCCAGAGGTGAATTTCCTTAATTGTAATTTCCCGATAATAATGTATACCAGTTTTGTTGAAATGAAATTGTTCATGTTTCGAAGAGTTAAGCTGGGATATGAACACGCATACATATACATACATTATTATTATTTTTGTATTAAGATTTTGACATTTAGACATTTGTAAAGCAATGTTTACACTGACAGGGAGATAAATAATAGCAATATATGTAATAATAATTATATTTATAAAAAGATGTTTATAACAAACTTTTGTATTTTTGCACAAACTTTTGTGAAATCAAAAAATAGCATTATCTTTCAAAGTTGTAGCTCACTTGGCAATTTGTTTCAAAAGAAATATTTTATACAAAAATTACAGGAAATTTACAATAATTCACTCTAAAATGAATATGAATCATTTTTCTACAGGACGTAAGATTAAAATGTTACAAAGAAAACATGAAGAAAGTAAGAAAAAAACAACTGTTTTTGCAGGCCTCCTGGGGTTAACAAGGTTTAAAGGTCATAAACTTGAGGTTTTAACTAATGCCTGAGAACATACGACATACCCAAAGCAAAAGTTTTTACGACCTTTTTCCAGGTGAGATGTTCTCACTGACTGGACAATAAGGCAAATACAAATGACACTGGTACAATTTTCATGACAACTTCTCTATTTTCACAAATTGCAAAACTTAAAAATTTATTTGACCCCCCTCCTACTAGAAGATATAGATTATTTCATAATGAATAGTTTATACCTAAATTTTAATCACAGTCACACTTTTTAAAAACTTTTTGTATTGGTAGTGATAGTTTTTGTGTACATATTGATGCACTGAATGGCGTTTATTTTTTTTATTTTTTTTAATTGTTTTTTTTGTTTTTTGAATGCCTCTCACTTTGTTAATATTTGTGCAACAACGTATTTATAATTCATTACACTTTGATCAAACATTTTTCAAATAATCTCTTGTGAAATTTAATCTCTTTTAATTTATCCCTTGAAAAATACTTGTTTGCTAATGGGTTGAATATTCCACATTTTCAGGAATCCTCAAACGGCATTTTGTCAGATTGCTAAGAATTGTTCCCTGAAATGTTTTGTATAAAAAGAGATTTTGGACTCCTGAGATTTTCGTAAAGTCTGGTTTGATTTAAACTATTAGAGGGAAAA